GAGCACAACAAGACGGTGGATGGATGCTTCAGCCCTGAGAGCTTCTGTTTGAGCGTTTTCCGGCTGCTTATCACAGCCACTACTCACGGTGAGTGCACCTTTTGAGGGGATATAGGTGGTATTAACCCTTATCCCCAACACAGTTCACGGAATTTCTTTTGAACATTTGTCTTTTCTGGAATATTTTTTGAACAGTTTTCTTTGATTTTGACACATCACATCAACTAACAATTTATGGTGGTTGTCACTAATTATTTCACATACCCTGTGGGATCAATGATCCAGGGCCATTGATGACTTTTTCTTATAAAAAAAGATTTTGAAGGCACTGAATATTCATGTGTATGTTATATGAATATAATTTATTTATCTGAATCACTTATATATTATATTTATTTATTGGAATTATTTTATATTTAGATTAGCGTGTAATGACTCGCCACCCGGCTTCCCGACTAGCAGGGAAGCCATCCCCATGCTTCTCATCACTAGGTGACAAGAAAGCATGGAGCCGGCTTTCTGGCCAATCATCAAGCCGGGCGTCATTACACGGCACCCGGTTTTCTAATTGGTCGGGAAGTTGGCCAGCGAGTAATTACACGCTGGCTGGATTCCTGATTGGCCAGGAAGCCGGCTCCATGCTCTCTAATCACAAGTGACAAGGAAGCATGGAGCCGGCTTCCTGATACAGGAAGCATTGAGCTAGGCATCGGGGAATTTTGGCTAGTACAGGTACTCGCCCAAATACTCGATACTAGTATCATTATCGGTGCATCCCTAGTATGAAGAATCAGGAGAAGAAGGGATAAGCTTCAACAACAGCTGATTCATGTGCCTCTTTACAGTCAGGCTGTTTTATGGCAATGATCTATATCATAGGCAAACTCCGGCCCCCCAGCTGTGGTAAAACTACCAACCCCATCATGCATTGCATCAGCCTCTGGGAGTCATGCCTGTGGCTGTCAGGGTCTTGCAATGCCTCATGGGATTTGTAGTAGCACCACAGCTGGAGGACCGGAGTTTTCCTACCCCCGATCTATTACTAAACCCTTCATAACCAGCAGCAAACTAATTGGCAAGGAGTGACAGGTCCTCTTTAAACCCACATTCAGATGCACCTTTGTTATTCCTAAGCATTCAGAGCCAGCAGACCGCGCTCAATAATGGACGCCGGAGCGCGTGTTCAGAATAATGGTTTATTGATTTACCTCTGAGGCTGCTAGCGACACCAAGTCTACAGATGGTTTCTTTCTACACTGTTGTCACGCATCTAATCGCCGCTCCGCGCACCTCCAGGGACCCAATGGAAGAATAAGCACGCTCAAGGTTCAAGCTTGGCAGCTGCAGAACTCTGTACGGCGTTCCGGCCAATTAAAGAGCAGAGAGGTTGCGGGCTGTCTACATTTCGGGAACACGTCGGGCCTCTCAGCTGATGAGGTAGCCCCCATCCACGGGGAGACACGCACCCGTGGTCATCCCACTCTTGTCGCTGAGCAGGAACAGGATGCTATTGACCACATCTTCCACCTCTGGAAATGAAGAGGCGACATTTAAAATGAATCCTATACAAGGCAATAACCCTTCCCCTCGTCCACATCAGTCTTGTGGCCAAAGGAGCTTACACTCTAATGGCATTAAATTCTCCATGCTGTGTGTGTTACAATATTACGGGAGTAGCCCCTCCGCAAGGGTGCTCGTTTTGCTCTAGGGGCCAGAATACAGAAGATACCCTCACGTGATCCTCACCTCTCTGCCCCACTGCGCTAGCAGTGGTATGTCCCTCAGTGTCCTCACATCCAATGCAGGTCAATGGACTTGTATTGGACGTGATGACGTTAGTGGTACTCAGTGGGACCGGTTTTGCAGGCAGGCGGGACCGAGGATCAGGCGACTATCTTTTTAATTTTAGACCCTAGACCAAAAGAAGCACTTAACCCCTTGCAGTGCAGGGGTAGCCACACTGCAAAGGTTACGTTTTACAATGCCCAGGGCTCTTCTTTAAAGTGCATCTAAACCCAAAACCAACAATACCATATATAGTGCAGCTTACCATTCCTCAGATGTGGCGGCTGCACTAGTTTTATTTTTTTAGGCGTTTTCCATTCATTTTCACCTGGTGATCCTGCCAGCTTCCTGTCCTTGGGTGACAACACTCAATCACTATACTGTATTCATGGAGCAGCAGCTTTGTCAGCCTAGGACAGGACTACAGAAGACCTCCCGATCGCCAGGAGATGCTCTGTCATTCACAGAAGATAGCTGGGAAAGCTGAAGACATTGAGCTTTCAGACAGGAAGTCAGAAGGACACTCGATTTATCAGGTATTTTCTGTACGGACAGAAAATGTTCTTACCCTGAAAACAGAAAATGAATGCCGCGGCCGCATGTTAGGACTGCAATCTATGACATTTTTGTTTTTGGGTTTGGATACACTATAAAGCCCATTGCAATGTGACAGGTTCTCTTGGAAAGACAACATGCATTCCTGCATGAGTTCTAGCAATGGGCCGCTCATGCCTGAGCACTGCATTCTGGGAGTAAGGGCAGAAGGTCACATGCTCCCCCATACCTGGAAGTACCAGGTATTTCCCCAGGGCTGCAGTATGGAAGCACAGCAAAGGAAAGTATAAGCGGGTTGAAGGGTAACCTTATAAGAGGCTCAATCACTTTCCCCTGAATTGGCCAAGGAGAAGACTCTCTCTAATGTTTTTATTGTCCCCACTGGAGAGATGTACCCTTACTTCCTGTCCCATTGACAGGGTGTCACAAGGACAGGAAATGATGGGATATTTCTCCAGTGCAGACAGACAGCAACAAGAGCACATTCTATTAGGATTGTGCAGAGAGGTTAGAACATCATTTTGTTTTGTATTGCTCTCTGTATCCTCCTGTTGTGGTGACAACCTCATCTCTCATTTCTTGTCCTGGTTGTCACCAGTACACAGACAGCAATAAACACATGATAGGGATTCTGGTTCTTACATAATCTATGGCAAATGTTGAAAATTTGGGCTAAGGTTGACGTCAGGCCAACATAAAAAGTGACTACTGACCTGCGAAGCGCCTCATGGGAATCCGATTTAGCATTGGCGCGGCCTTCTGGGGATCACTCCAGTTAGCACGTCCCATATCAGTCATTACCACTGTGGGGTTCACGCAATTGACACGGATCTAAAAATCAAAGAAGTATTTATCGCATGCTTAACAGTTGTTGTTTTTTTTTGGGGGGGG